ATGTAAAAAGGGGGAGACTCTTTTTATCTCTATTGAGAGTATTGACATCATATCCCAAATGTTTCAGATAGTCTGAAATCGGGACCAGGTTCATAAGCAGATGATACAGTGTGGGAAAAGTAGAAAGCAGTGATTGTTTCCGTGGTAATTCCCCACCTATGAGCTGACTATCTCCTGACAGCCCTGGGAAGGACAAGCTATCTCCCCCCCCCCCAGGGACTCTGCTCCCTGAACTTGCACACTCTCCGACCTGACCTCGTGACATGGTATGTGACTGAGTCTACTGTGGCTCGTGCCTGCATTTTTACTACTCTTTGCTCCACGTCAAACCATCAAATGGACCTAGCTTTGGGAGCCGTGTTGCCTCCTCCCAGCAAGGAGCCTCCTTGGATAACTGTCTCAGTGGAGTTTCCAGAGACAGGCCAAGCTTGCATTGTTTTTATATAGGATGTGCAGCTCCTCAGACCTCCACCACCATATAAGCAGTGGGTGTTATAGTTAGACGTGGTTTTTCTGCTGAGCTGTGCCCTGGAGGCTGCTCCTTAGTGCTGTGGGAGTACAAGGTGAGGGACCTCTGAGGCTGCTTTTCTTAGCAAGGATCCATGTTGGCCTCCTGGAGCTGGTTATCGAGAGTGCCTGAAAGTGAACATGGCCCCTCCTGTGGGTGACTGGGTTTCTCCTGATTCTTTGCCATGCTGTTGTGATGCAGTTAGGGGACCCTAACTGAACTGATAGACCACCAGATTGCTGTGGAATAATTCTTTTGTACACTGTGCAGATTTGGCAGTTGGATTGGTTTAATAAAATGCTGACTGGCCAGTAGCTAGACAGGAAGTATAGGCAGGTCAACCAGACACAGAGAACTCTAGGAAGAAGAAGGGTGGAGTCAGAAAAGAGATGCCAGCAGACACAGAGGAAATAGGATGTGTAGAAAATGAGGTAACAGCCTGGCGGTGGTGGCACACACCTTTAATCCCAGCACTTGGGAGGCAGATCTCTGTGAGTTTGAGGCCAGCCTGATCTACAAGAGCTAGTTCCAGGACAGTTAGGGCTGTCTCAAAAAACAAAAAACAAACAAACAAAATAGAGGTAACAAGTCATGAGCCACATGGCAGAGGGTGGGCTAATTTAAACATAAGAGCTAGTTAGTAACAAGCCTGAGCTACCAGCCAAGCATTTACAATTAATACTAAGTTTCTGAGTGGTTATTTGGGAGCATTGTTGGGTTTCTGAGTGGTTATTTGGGAGCATTGCTGGGAATGGAAAACTAAACCTACCCTAGATCTTGAACTTTGACTCTCTCAGATTGTAGGCCAAACAAACTTCTGTATACAGATTTAGTTCCAAGTATTTTGTCATACTAACAGAAAACTGGTCAATCCAGTAGTAATATCACATGCTCAACTCAAAGACTAAGCTACATACTTCTGTGTAAACACCTACAGCCCAGGGCCATGTGAGTAGCAAGTGCCCAGTAGATATTAGCAGGTTGACTTTAGTGCACCGATGTCTTGGTTGCAGGATTTATAAGGATTTTGGAGACTATAGATTTGGATAATCTTTGTAGGCTTTTAAAATTAGTATATATTCATTATACACAACAATGGGCTTTATAATGACGTTTTCATTCATGCTCATCTTACACTTTGATAACAGTCATCTGCCATTACCACTCATGTCTCCCTTTTCCTTTATGCTGGTTCCTTTCCTCTTCCCAAGCTGTTCTCCTGCTGTTTTCACATCATAAGTCTCTCTCTCTCTCTCTCTCTCTCTCTCTCTCTCTCTCTCTCTCTCT